GGAAATGCCCAGGCCAGTCAAGCCCAGTTATTATTTTTTGCTGGGCCATGTGCTTCCAAGAAGTCAGATCCCAGTCCAGCCCTTTGTCCTCCTGTGATCACTATGGGACTTTGATCCATCCTGAAGCCCAGAAAAGCAAGAGGGCTGTCCAGGGAGAATCTCCTTGGGTGTATTTCTGACACCAGCTTTAGAAGAGGCGTACAGAGATGTGGCGGAGATGCCACTGTAGGTACATCAGGAAAGTCACGAAGGTGCATGAGATCTCGTGGCTAACCCACATACAAGAGCACAAGAGAACAATGTAGAGACCAAAAGAGAGCAACAGTGACAAGGCCACGTCTTGCTGCTGGCCATGGCCATGGCTCCAGGGAAGCAGCATCCCCGACCCGAAGGCAGCAGAGAGGCAGAGGCCAGCGGGCTGTGAGGGGCAGCCCCGAGGGCCACCAGGGCTGCTCCTGCATGTGGCATCTGGGCTCTTGGCCCTGAGCCCCTCCTGCTGCTAGGGCTGCTGAGACCAGCAAATTCCTGCTGGAGTCTTTATTGAGAGTAGTAAGATTTTTGGTTAAATACACATATATAATTATAATAATTAACTGGTAGGAAACTAAGAGAATTCAGAATGTTCAGAAATAACTTCAGAAGACAGTATAAAAGGAAAATAATACAAAAGATTATCTTAATAGATTTATTTATTTTTTAAAGACTCTTGTTAGGATTGTGGTCCCATTATAAATGATAAAGAGGCCTATACCCAGGGTTTCCTCAAGGCTTCCTTGAGCTCCTGGTTCCTCATGCTGTAGATGATGGGGTTCACTGCTGGAGGCACCACCGAGTACAGAAATGACACCACCATGTCCAGGGATGGGGAAGAGATTGAGCTGGGCTTCAAGTAGGCAAACAGCAGTGCTGACAAACAGGGAGACCACAGCCAGGTGAGGGAGGCACGTGGAAAAGGCTTTGTGCCGGCTCTGCTCAGAGGGCATTCTCAGCACTGCCCTGAAGACCTGCACATAGGAAAGAGCAATGAAAACAAAACAACCAAACCCCAAAGAAAAACTAAACACAAGTGCCCAAACTTCCCTGAGGTAGGCATCTGAGCAGGAGAGCTTGAGGATGTGAGGGATTTCACAGAAGAATTGGTCCACAGCATTGCCTTGGCAGAGGGGCAGGGAAAATGTGTTGGCTGTGTGCAGGACAGCATTGAGAAAGCCACTGCCCCAGGCAGCTGCTGCCATCTGGGCACAAGCTCTGCTGCCCACGAGGCTCCCGTAGTGCAGGGGCTTGCAGATGGCAACGTAGTGGTCGTAGGCCATGACAGTGAGAAGGGAATACTCTGCTCTAACCAAGAAGAAGAAAAAGAAGACCTGTGCAGCACAGCCTTGATAGGAGATGGCCCTGGTGTCCCACAGGGAGTTGACCATGGCTTTGGGCAGAGTGGTGGAGATGCAGCCCAGGTCGAGGAGGGCGAGGTTGAGGAGGAAGAAGTACATGGGGGTGTGGAGGCGGTGGTGGCAGGCTACGGCGCTGAGGATGAGGCCGTTGCCCAGGAGGGCAGCCAGGTAGATGCCCAGGAAGAGCGCGAAGTGCAGGAGCTGCAGCTTGCGCGTGTCTGCGAATGCCAGCAGCAGGAACTCACTCACAGAGCTGATGTTGGGCATTTGCTGGCTCTGGACACAGTTGTCTGCTGAAGAGGAGAAGGCAGAACAAATTTACAACAATTTACAACGAAGCAAAGGAAAACCTACTACAAGCCTTAAAGCACCACTCCACCTGTGCCTCTCTCTTTGCAGGAGAACGTCTCTGCAGCTCTTTTGCTTGGGCTCTGGATGGTGCTGGTTGAGAGTGGCACTGGGAGCACAGGCTGCTGTGGGCTGTAGATGAGTCCTTCCTGCTGTGCAGCAGGAAGGAAGCAGGAACATGTGGGAAATTCAAATTCAGTCCACTTCTCAGGTCAATGAGATTTGCAGTGTTGTTGGAAACAACTCATCTGTGTCCAGAGTTCAAGAAGCCATTACCCACTACTCTTGTTCTAAGCTGCCCTGTATCTCCCGTCTTTGAGATGCAGGACCATCCCACTCCGTTTTTTCCCTGAGAAGAAACTGGAGAAAGCTGAGGGCAGAGAACCCCAAGTCCAAGTGCAGCTGGATAGAAAACTCAGCTTGTCTCTGGGGTACTGAGCAGGACCTCGGCTCTTCCTGCTTCACTTCACACTATGCTGCTCACAGACAGCCATCCAGCAGCACAGACAGGGCCTTAGCACGTAGGTGTCGTGTTCTTGGGGCACCAAGCACAAGGGCCAGGCCTTGACCTCCAGCCCCTGGGAAGGGAGAACCTTTCCCTTCCCACCTTGCTCCGGGCTCTTCCTGGGGCAGTAGGAGATGTGCAGGAGAATGGTACGACCCCTGCCTGGTTCTTCAGGGGAATAAGGAGGCCCTGGTACTTTAGCAATGAGCTGTCTCCTCATAGGCCTCAGTGACAGAGACAACAACCACAGGCATGGACACAAAAATCTCAGTTTGTTGGGACTTTCAGCCTTGCCTATGTCCTTGCTCCTCTGATGACCAGAGTATCTTAGTGTCTTCCAGACCTGCACCTCTTTCCCTGTTTCCTGTAGACATCTATTTGTGTGATGTCACATCAGGTCTTAGCTGAGTAGCTCATACGAGATCCCTCATGGGGCCCAGACCCTCCTCCTCCTGGGCACTGCTCACTCAGCAGGGTCCCAGTCTGCCCTGATGTGTGGGGTTCCTCTTCCTCTGGTGTAGGACGAAGCTCTTCTCTTTGTAAATGTCAAGGTGTTCCTTTAGGCAAAATCCTGCAGTTTCTCAAGCTCCCCCTGCACTGATGCTCCATTCTGTCAGCCATTCATGGCTGCAGGCAGATGGTTCAACTTTCGTGTGATTGTGCTATTTCTGACAAGACAGCAGCATCAGGAGTTGCAGGAAATTTTGGATAACACAGGAGTAACCAGTTGAATGGAATTGCTGCACAGAGTCACAGAAGGGTACGGGATGGTAGGCTGCCAGGTTCCACCTCTTCCCTGCTTCCTTCTCATGCATGCTGTCAGTTTGTCTGGAGCTGTGTCCTGAATGTTCTGGGGTTGTGCAGGTCAAAATTAGAAGGACCAAAGCCCAGCTGGTGCTAAATCTGTCTATTACTGTCAAAGACAATAAAAAACTGTTTATATAAACACTTTAAATAAAGGAGGATTAAGGAGAATCATCATTCTTGTTAGATGTTGGGAAAACCTGGTGCTGGTCTGGAGATAAGGTAGAGGCTGAGGTACTTATGCGGGCCCATGAAGACCCATCTTGGGATCTTCTTCCTGCCTGGGTCCTCCTGGCTCTGGAGGCAGAGGGGATCCCCCAGTCAGCATGCCAAGCAGGTGTCTTCTGCTGGCCTAGCAGGGCCACTGCCAGATGTCAGCCCAGAAGTGCAGCTCCCAGGGAGAAGACAAGGCTGACCTGCCACCTACTTCAGACACAAGTGACCTCCCAGTCCCTTTCCATGACATGTTCCTGCTGCTGCCCTATCAAGTGCAGAGACAGAAGTGACCTCATAGTCCCTGCCACAGTCACATTGCTCCTGCGGGGGCAGGAGATCCTGAGGTAAAGCTGAGCTTTCTCTAGGCCCCTTGGTATCTCTTTTTCACTTTCTGGGTTAGAGTAAGCAAAGTTTTAGTGGGATTGTTTGGTGTTCTGCTTGTGCTGTCATGTCTGTTTCAGGTATGGACAAGCTCTGTGGTTTACAGGTGTTTTACGTCTTCCAGGGAGTCTAGGGTTAAATAGAGCATTTTAATGTTAGTTTTAAGGGAAGGGATTATGGTTATCAAGAGAGAAAATTGATTCCTTTCAGAGTGTTGTAGTAGCATTTAGGTTTAGGGATTAAAATTACTGTTTCCAGTTAGGTAAGGGCCATATGTGAATTTTTTAAGTCATTGTTACTGCAGTATGGGCATTGCAGGAATGCTTTTACCTCTATGAAACCACTAATTTCTGCTGGCCATGCTCCTCTTCCCACCCCAAAATCTCACATGTCTCTTGTTCAGGCTGCTCCTGACCTCTGCGTATCTTCCTGGAATCAGCTCTCTGATGACATCCATGATCGCAGAGTATCTGTCTCACCTCCGTTGGCTCCTCCATTCCTGAGAAGGAAGTCGCATTGTACTCAGGAGAGAAAAGGACACAAAGGTCTTTAGCAGCATCCTGCGCAATGTGCCCATCAGCTCTGCACTTCCACAAAATCATGCTTCCTACAAAGTTTTTTTTTTTTCCCAAGTGGGTTCTGTGCATCCGGGGTTACTTTTCCCAGGACCTCTCACATGTTTCAGTTTCATATGTGCAGGGATGGGATAAGGAAAGCCAAGGCATGGATGGAACTGTTCTTTTCAAGGGATGCAAGGAATAATAGGAAGAGATCCTATAGGTATATTGCTCAGGAAAGTAAGGCCAAGGAGAGTGTGCCCCCTCTGAGGGATGAGAAGGGTGAACTGGTAATGACAGACATGGAGAAGCCTGAGGGACTCAACAACATCTTTGCCTCAGTCTTCCCTGCCAGTCAGGCTTCCCAAGTCTTTCATTCCCTGAAGCCATAGATGGAGGCTGGGGAGCAAAGTCCCTCCTGCTCTAAGTGAAGAGGAGGTTTGAGACAACCTGATGGAACTCAACAAGTACAAGTCTATGGGGCTTGCTGACTTGCATCCCAGGGTCCTGAGGGAACTGCCTGATGCAGTTGGCAAGCCTCTCTCCATCATATTTGAAGAGTCCTGACAGTCAGGTGAAGTCCCTGCTGACTGGAAAAAGGAAACATCACTCCCATTTTTAAAAAGGGTAGAAAGGAGAATCCATGGAACTACCGAATAGTGAGCCTCACCTCTGTGGCTGGCAAGATCATGGAAATGATCCTCCTGGAATCGATGTCAAGGCCCCTGCAAGACAAAGAGGTGATCTCAGACAGCCAGCATGGCTTCTCCAAAGGGTAAATTGTGCCTGACCAATGTGATGGCTTTCTACAATGGAGTGACCACATCAGACAACAAGAGAAGACCGACCTATGTCATCCACTTGGACTTCTGTAAGACCATTGACACTGTCCCATATGACATCTTTGTCTCCAAATTGGAGAGATATGCATTTGATGGGTGCACAATTCAGTGGGTAAGGAGTTGGCCTAAAGGTCACACCCAGAGAGTGGTGCTCAATGGCTCTATGTCCAAGTGGAGGCTGGTGACAAGTGTTGTACCTCAGGGGTCTGTCCTGGGACTGGTACTGTTTAATATCTTTATCTATGACAGACAATGAGATCATCAGTGAGACAGTACATTCTGCGCTTGTAACCCAGAAGGCCAACTGCATCCTGGGCTCCATAAGCAGAGGAGTGACCAGCAGGTAGAGGGAGGTCACTTCTACTTCTACTCCTTGTACTCTGCCCTTGTGAGGTCCCACTTGGAGTCCTGCATCCAGGACTTGTGCCCCCAGCATGAGAAGGGTGTGCATCTGTTAGAACGGGTCCAGAGGAGGGCCACAAAGATGATCAAGGGGCTGGAGCATGTCTCCTATGAAGAAAGGCTGAGAGAGCTGAGGCTGTTCAGCCTGGAGAAAAGAAGGCTCCGGGGTGACCTCTTTGTGGACTTTCAGTACTTAAAGGGAGCTTATAAAAAGATGGAGAGTGACTCTTCGTTCAATTAGATAATGATATCATAGAAATGGTATCATAGAAAACAGTGACACTCGTGAGGACGGAAGAGCAGGTGGATAAGGCCTTGGCCTGCCAATACAGGACACACACACACCTGAAAACTGCATGAGAGTGAAGAGGAAGATTGGATCCAAAAATCTAGATTATGAAATCAAAGACTGTGAGTATCACCTTGACACTGCAGGACAGCTCCAGCAATGGGACAAAACCACAGAAGCTATGTATGACACTGGGGCCACAGAAGGATTGCTGGGAGGAGAAGATATAATTCCTGTTCCTTAGAGAAATTCCCCTGGTTCAGGTACAGCTGCCTTCTGGAGTCAGACCTTCCACTTCTCGAGCCTTGCAGAGAACAGGGATGGCATACAGCCCAGGGCTGACCGTAGGACATGGTCCCCAGAAGGAAGCACAGCATCTGCAGGTTGCAGGCATCAGCACAGTGTTGAGTGTGTTCCACATCCAAGTCTCCATGCTGGTCATGTGAGAGAGGAAGAAGAGATTTGTGTATGGGTGGAGGATCTTCCATGTGGATTACTGGGAAAACTCAACAAATGGTGTCTTAGTGTCCAATTCCCTTCTTGGACAACCTTTTAGAGCATTCAGTTCCCCCCTCTCTTGTTAGGACACATTCAGAGGGGTGAAACGATCCCTGGCAGTCGTGGCTGAGGTGTCCTGCCGTGCAGTGGGAACAGAATAGGGGTTAAGGGAGGGAAACATTTGTACTCATGTTTGACAACCACAGTCCAACAGCACAAATCACACTTTAAAAAATCAGTCTCTGACATCTACAGAGAGAAGCAGTTGGTGATGCCTTCAGTCTGCTTCAACCACCACACACCAGCAGAGACCCTGCTGCCTTGGGGAGCTGTCAGCCCTGAGGCCTTGGGGACACCTCAAGGGAGCCCAAAGGCACAGAGCAAGTGATGCCATGGTTGGGTGCTGTGCTGCTGAGCTGGGCCAGGCTCATGGGACAGAGAGAGCTCGTGGCAAGAGGGCCCTGGTGCAGAGAGACAGCTGTGCCCAGGAGCAGCTCCTCTGCACAGCGCAGCAGGGCTGGGGGCTCTGACCGCAGCTGGCACACAGAGAGGAGAGAAGGAGAGAGGGCTTGGAGGCACTGAGGAGCACAACAACAGAGGGCAGCGTGTGGCAGGACACATCTGCAGGCTCTTGGCACCGTGAGGCTCTGGCAGCAGGGCACTGCAGGTGGGGTTGCCAGAGGGGTGTTCCGCAGATGGCACATCCAACAGCTGGTAGAATCTGTCAGGGTGGGTCTCTCTGTTTCTCCAGGTAGGAGTAGAAGATATTTTAAAGAATGGTATATATGACTGGATTTTTCAAAAGGAAGACCAAGGCAGGGGCTACCTGAAAGACAAGACTTTTACTGTAGCTTGTGCTTGCAGATACCTGTGGTAGAGTAGAGGCTGGTTTCATGGTAATAGGTGGTCAGGTTTGCACTGCAGACTGAGACTGCTAGAGTATTGAAGTGAGGGATCGATATTTCATCAATGAACTTCATGAAGTCCCTTCCCACACCTCAGCCCACAGACTGCACCAACATCATCATTGTGGTCCTCTCAGGTTTTATCCTAGCTGATCTTTAGAAGCTGCAAACCCTCCAATGCCCAGTGCTCTGTCTTTGGGAGGTCTCTGACAGTTTGAGATGATCACAGATCATTTGCAACGAGCAGAAGCTGCCTCGTCTGCAGGCAGAGCTGCAGCACAGGAGGGTCTGCTGAGTGTCCGTCTGTCCCTCCCTGGCCTTGCCTCCCCTGGCAGCAGCACGCTGGCATTCCTCCTGGCTTCTCCATCTGGCCATGCTGCTGCTGGTCTTGTTCCCAGGCTGGCTGGGGATGGGGGTTTCACATGCACATGGAGTGAGCCTTCGGTTTGCTTGTGGGACGTGGAGTATGGGGACAGGGTGAGGGGTGTGGAGATGTGCAGTTTGTGCCTGGATTCCTCTGCTCTCAGCAGTGTTCAGGTTCTTCTCAGATCAATGTCTGAGTACAACTTTCCTGCAACACTCACACGGTGGCTGAGACCAGCACTGATGGACAGATTGTCTGTCCTCACTAAAGGACACTCTGCACTGTAGGGACAGTCCCTTTTTCTCTGAGCAGACACAAAGTTTCCCTTCACGTGCAGGGGGAATGCCCAGGATTTCTGTTTTAGAAAAACTCAGAAGTGTCCAGATTCTGTAGGCACTGGAACAGGCATCACAGGGAAGTGGTCACAGCACTAATGCTGTCAAAATTCAAACATTTGGGCAACCCCCTCAGGCATATAGACTGATTTTTGGGTGGTCATGTACAGATTCAGGGGTGGGATCTGATGATCCTTGTGCAACCCTTCCATGTCAGCATGTTCTATGATTCTATGACTCCAGGAACATAGGAGGAGAATTGTCCTGTAGCTCAAAGACCGGCCAACACAGGGCAGCAGAGACCAGAACTGATGGACTGACTGCCTCTCCTCTCTGAAGGGCACTCTGCTCTAAAGTGCAGTATCTGTGATTCTGAAGATCTACAAGGTTTCACTTGGAGTGCAGCTGAATGCCCAGGATTTATGACTTAGAAGGACTCCTCAGATGTGGTGGAGCAGCTGAACAAAGAGTACAAATCAAACAAATAAATAAAATAATAAATACATAAATCTCCACGTGTCTGCTCTGTGATGAACTTTGAGCAAAACTGGGGAAATCTGATATGAACTGAAGTGAATCTGAGACTGCCCCATGTTCCTACCATGTTGCTACCTTGAGCTGTAGTGCAGGACTGATTCTTCCATTGCCCACAGAACAGCACTCTTCTCCTAGAGAGACTCAGTATCAGCTGGAAGTCATTAAAGGGACCTTCAAAATAACTGCCTGCAAGTGGAAAATCTTTTTGATGGTTTTAAAAAATTGAATTTTCCTATGATATGTCCACTGTACATTATTACTATTCTTTCTCTTTGTGCAGGACCACTTCACAGAAATAACGGATGTCCAACAACAGCTCTGTGAGTGAGTTCCTCCTGCTGGCATTTGCAGACACATGCGAGCTGCAGCTCCTACACTTCGCGCTCTTCCTGGGCATCTACCTGGCTGCCCTCCTGGGCAACGGCCTCATCCTCAGCGCCGTAGCCTGCCACCACCGCCTCCACACCCCCATGTACTTCTTCCTCCTCAACCTCGCCCTCCTCGACCTGGGCTGCATCTCCACCACTCTGCCCAAAGCCATGGCCAATGCCCTCTGGGACACCAGGGCCATCCCTTATCAAGGATGTGCTGCACAGGTCTTCTTTTTTGTCTTATTGTTTGGAGCAGAATATTACGTTCTCACAGTCATGTCGTACGACCGCTATGTGGCCATCTGGAAGCCCCTGCACTACGGGAGCCTCCTGGGCAGCAGAGCTTGTGCCCAGATGGCAGCAGCTGCCTGGGGCAGTGGCTTTCTCAATGCTGTCCTGCACACGGCCACTACATTTTCCCTGCCCCTCTGCCACAGCAATGCTGTGGACCAGTTCTTCTGTGAAATCCCCCAGATCCTCAAGCTTTCCTGCTCAAATTCCTATCTCAGAGAAGTTTGGGCAATTCTGTTTAGCATATTTTTAGCATTTGGTTGTTTTGTTCTCATTGTGGTGTCCTATGTGCAGATCTTTAGGGCAGTGCTGAGGATGCCCTCTGAACAGGGCCCACAAAAAGCCTTTTCCACGTGCCTCCCTCACCTGGTTGTCACCTCCCTGATGATCAGCACTGCCATCTTTGCCTACCTGAAGTCCCCCTCCATCTCCTCCCCATCCCTGGACCTGGTGGTCACTCTTCTGTACTCAGTGGTACCTCCAGCACTGAACCCCCTCATCTACAGCTTGAGGAACCGGGAACTGAGGGATTCCATCAGGACTCTACTTGAGGACACACATCGTCAGCAAATTCACCTATAATACTATTCCTAATATTGGAAATCCCAGCTCTTCTCAGAAAGAAAATAATATGATGTCTTCTATTATTAAATGTCTGTATTATTATTTTCTCTCATTATTACACATTTGATTAAATATTATTCCTAGCCCCCTACAAGTCAATTATTTTTCTGTAGAAGATGGCTTCCTGCGTAGATAAACCTAATAAGAAAGCCATCAGGAATTCATGGCTCTGAGCTGCCATCTCTTCCCATCTCCTCTGGAGCTGTGGGAGCAGCCCCAGCACGCAGGAGGGGCTCAGGACCAAGAGCCCAGCTGCCACATGCAGGAGCAGCCCTGGTGGCCCTCGGGGCTGCCCCTCCCTGCCCGCTGGGCTCTGCCTCTCTGCTGCCTTCTGGTCGGGGCTGCTGCTTCCCTGGAGCCATGGCCATGGCCAGCAGCAGGACGTGGCCTTTTCCCTGCTGCTCTCTTTTGGCTTCCACATTGTGCTTCTTTTTTTCTGGGTTAGACCTGATATCTCCTGTACCTTGGTGACAGTCCTGTTGTCTCTGCAGTGGCA